CAGGAGTTTTTGAGCATGTTAAGGCCTCCAAAAGTGTCCAAAAGGTAGCAGAAAAATAATAAGAATAATAATAATAATAAAATATAGCTGCGAGCAGCGATTACGGGCCCAAGCCTGTGGCACCGCAACCCCGGTTCCTTTAGTTACCTAAAGGCACCGGGGTGGCGGTGCCGCCGGCTTTGGCCCTTCATCGCTGCTCGCAGCTATATTTATATATATATATATATATATATATATATATATATATATAAATTATATATATATATAAAAAAAATATATATATATATATATATATATATATATCACTTGCCTTACCGGATTAGAACAATGAAAACAATAAAAAAATAACTAGGGAATCACTAAACCGAGAGAATTAATCTGTTTTGATGATACACTCAAAATATTACACAAGCAATTCTTTAAATTTAATGATATTCAGAACAGAACAAGAATAAAAAAAAACTATAATTAAGAAATAACCGAAATAATTGAAAGCGAAAGTGAAAGTAGGTGGTGTTTGGCTCACGTAACTCTCTCATTAGAATCAAACTGTTTCAACATTTGCGATGTATTTGGATGCTAAACTATTCTTCATTATGGGCTTTGTACTTCACTCAGGTTTCAATATGTGTGTGTGTGTGTGTGTGTGTGTGTGTGTGTGTGTGTGTGTGTGTGTGTGTGTGTGTGTGTGTCTGTGTGTCTGTGTGTGTGTGTGGGTGAGGTGCGGGTGCGGGTGCGGGTGCGATTGAACTGTTACACATAAAAACATACTCCGTCATTTTGTTCATAGAGGACATCATTCAAACTGCAAAGTGTTTACTTATATTTGTGTACACTCGCAATAAAACACAACAAAGTGCTTTTGTCAAACTATAAACTCTTGTCAAACTGTAACCTACAACTGTCACCCAACTAAAATCACACGCACACACTGTCTAAAAGCAAAAAATATTTATCCAACCCCATTTAAAACAGTCTGTGGGAGCCATCTTTTGGACATTCACCATATCGCATTGATTTTCATTTATTGTCCTCAGAGCCCTAATCTGTTTATTTTTCAATTACACATTCTACATTGATTAAAAAAGAAAATTCTAATGTGTTTTTATTTTATACAGGAATAAGTTATTTATAATTCAGATGAGAATAAAGTTAGTGTTAGTTCAAATTTTAAGGAAAACAAATATATTGATCTGAAATATAGCACATTCATCTCAGGTTAAATTACCAAACATACAATCTTAATTTAATTTAAAGCAAACGATACATTTAAAATATATGGGTTGTATGCATATTTTGGAATTTAAAAAAAAGATATATATCCAAAAAGACAAGGCCTTAAACTTGAACAAGGGTTAAACTCTTGTCGCTGTAAGAGACACAATGATTCAGCATTTTGAACGAATCGATTGACTCAAAGATTCAATGACCAATCCATAAACATGTATTGTCTCATTCATGAATGACTCAGTCGTTCGAACGAATCATTTGAACGAATGAATCAATGACTCACTCATTAAGACGGTCGCCTGGCGACACCTAATGACGGTTTAGTGTTATGTTTAAAAGTATCATTCTTTCCAACTCATATTTAAAACAATCTCACATTATTTAATGCATTGTTATTTTTCAGTGTAAACGATTTAATTTGATCACCCCTACCTAGAGTAACAGCCATATAGTGTCTTATTATTCTAAATAATTGAATTTATTGATCAAATTTACAAATTAAAAATGAAAGATGAAGCATACATTTAATAAGACTAGACTAGGGGTGCCCAGCAGATATTACAATTGGCAGATTTAAATATACCATGGCCCCCCACCGTCAATTTGGTGTGTGTATAATAAAATCATTTAGTCACTACAATTAAAACTTGAACGTATTTGCTTACTAAATTGTGAGCAGAACGAAAGTTGCAGCAAAGATCAGCAACAGGAGTCAAAATTCATTAATCACGAGAGTGAAGAGCTGACTGGAAAAATTATGACGGAATATTTTGTGTAAAAGCGCCTATATAAGCGAATCTGTCATTTACTCTTTTGTTGTTGTCTTTTCCCTGAAAACCGGAAGCAATCGGTCCCCGATATGGCGCTAATTTTAGTGACACTAAAAAGTATGCGGCTGCACTGGAATTCATAACGGTGCGCGTCCATGGCGACGAGCGAGCAAAACAGAGCGAATGTTTTTTCATTTCTACTTCCATAGAAATTCATTCGAGCGCACTGTGAGCGCCACCACTATAAATGTCCGTGCGGACGTCCTTACTTTACTTTCACTTTTAACTTAGCGATTTAACACGTTTTACACGTCAAATAACCGGTGAGAAAATATTCTCGGAGTCACATAGGCTACCTAATATATTTAAATACAATAGGCCTACCTGATTTTGAACACAAGAGGGCAGTATAGCCCTATGTATTATTTGATATATTTATTTTTTTAACTGAATAGTGCATCCTGGCTGTTTTTAAACTTGTACATTACTCTTAAATTGAAAACAAGAATAAAATGGGTTTAGTTGTGATATTTGTATAATTTTATCTAGAAATAAATGGTGTATAATTAAATTTTTAGAAGATATGAGGCTTTTAGTGTTTATTTTTTTTTTTACATGATTTTAATCCCTCGCCATAGCAAAACAATTAGAGATATTCAATAGATATTCACAATTATGCTTCTTTAATGTATTTTCATCATGTTGAAAAAGTTTGGTGGGAATAAAATAAACCACTTAAGAGGAGTGGGTAAAAATGTAGAGCCTGGTTTTGCAAAACATCCACATTAAGACAAAAATAGCCCACTTCCTGTTGGGCTGGCTTAAAGTTGTTTGGCCCGATGAGATCTATATACCGAGTTTCATAATATTACATGCAAGTGTGTTTGATTTATGGACCAAATTTTCTGACGAAGTTTATGGACCAAGTTAATTTAATTAATAAACTAATTATATAAAACTATTTTCAATGCACTACAATTCAACTGGTTATATGCCTTTACTTATTAATACAACTTATTTAAAAAATACAAGGCGTAAGACATTTATTTTCTTTTTTAATGCAGGCCAAACAACACAGCAGTCAAATGGTTAATCTAGCCCCCCTCCCCCTCCCCACACTCACAGACACACACACACACAGAGACGTAGGCTCAGAGAGAGAGAGAGACATAAAATGACAATTTTCAAACCAAAATATCTGACTTCCTGTTGGTTGGAGCTATTGAGTGTAAATTAGAAACTTGTCTGGCTGGAGGAGAACAATACACATACCGATTTTTATTACTGTAGATAAAATTAATCCCCCCACTTTTGACAAAAGGTGGCGCTACTGAGCCCTCAACACGCCCGTTTCTGAAACTTTGCACATGTCTACTGGCTAATAAATGAGATGTGTCTGTCGAGTTTCATGCAATTTTAAGCAATTTCAGGCATGCTAAGAGTCTCAAAAGCATAAAAAAAGAATATTAAAGTTTGATGCGTTGCCACGACAACAGTATCTAAGATATCAAGAATCCATTCACAGGTCTACATCTGCCGTGTGTTTACATTATAGTAGTGAAGTTTGAAGCAAATCGGGTAAAAATAAGAGGGTGATTTCAAAGCATTTAGGAAGTGACACACTTCCTTCTGCCAGTTGGTGGCGCTATAACTTTGACTCACAATAGTCACATCCATGTGATCGGGCTCTTACAACGAACACACTGGTGAAGTTTCATCAAGATCAGTTAATGTATGCAGTAGTTATGACACACTTCCTGTTTCACGTTTCTCGCCATAATTTTGTTTCCTCGCCACGGCCAAACCGTTCGAGATATCAAAAATCCCCTCGCAAACTTTCATCCTCAATGTCTTGACTTCATGCTGACCGAGTTTCGTGCCGTTTGTTTGAATTCTCTAGGAGGAGTATTTCACATTCCATTGCGTGTGTTTTACCAACAACCCTAAATAGCCGACTTCCTGTTGGGCTGGGGTAAAAAGTAAGAGTGTGAAGTATATATGAAACGAGGAGATCTACATGTGTACCGAGTTTCATATTATTACATGCAAGCGTGTTTGATTTATGGACCATGTTTTCGGACCCCGTTCCAGGGGGCGCTGTCGAGCCCCCCTGCCACGCCCGGGTACCATCTTCAGCCCGGCCCTGATGGCCGCGGGTTCTGACCAGTGTGCAAAGTTTCAGGAGTTTTTGAGCATGTTAAGGCCTCCAAAAGTGTCCAAAAGGTAGCAGAAAAATAATAAGAATAATAATAATAATAAATAATCCTAAGGAAAACAATAGGGCCTTCGCCCTTTGGGCTTGGGCCCTAATAATCCTAAGGAAAACAATAGGGCCTTCGCCCTTTGGGCTTGGGCCCTAATAATAATAATAATAATAATAATAATAATAATAAATAATCCTAAGGAAAACAATAGGGCCTTCGCCCTTTGGGCTTGGGCCCTAAATATACTTTTATTGGTCAATGCTAAATCATTGGAGAAATATGCTTCGGCCATGTAGACAAGCGATGTGAACTGCAAACAAGTCTTGTACAAAAAGTATAATAGTGGTGAAATAATAAAAAAATTGATACTTTTGTTATTAATCATTGAATTCAGCATGTACTGTATGGAATCATGCATTTAGAACTGAATCAAATCTATGCAATTTAACAATGTTATCAGAAAGGCACTTAATAAAAGGACAAACCTCTTGATTTGTTTCTCTGATCTAGGCAAATAAACGATGTAAATTGATCAACACCAGGTCCCACTTACAGAGTGATCCATCTTACAGAATGATTGCATTAATATGAATAGTGTAAAACTAATGAATGAGCATGAACTTTGATGAACTCCTTGTTGTTGCTGCTAATGTAAAAATGTATAACACAGACACTATTAGCGATCATCAATATTTGTTGATAATTAAAAGGTGCATAATTAAGCAAAAATGCAAGTGTAACGTTAAATTATTCCATTCCAATCTCATCCTGCATCTGATAATATAATGCAAAAAAGTAAAAAAAAAAGTTTGCTTTAATCCAGGCATAAAACACACACAACTTCTCCATGACTTAATGGCAGATACATCTTTATGCATGCAGAAGTTTCTCAAAAAAAAAAAACAGTCGGTACATTTTGATATAAGCTGAAAAGGTACAGGCATTTTCTTTGCATCATTATAGATACAGATCAGTTAATGTGCAGGTAAAATGTGTATAATCCATACGGGCATTTGGCAGGTGGTAGCATAGCTATCATTTTAACTGAAGCTGCACTTGTTTAATGCAAAACCGCTTGCTTTCAGGTGTCACAGGTGAGACCCTTCTAGAAGGTGAAGCGCCTGTCAATGGAATGGCCCACCTTCTCCAGGCTGGGGTTGGAGGCGAACTGAATCATGGGAGGAGGTCCACACATGAGGATGAGTGTGTCATCACCGGGTGGAGGAAGGTGGTTCTTCACCATATCCTCACTGATGAAGCCTTGGCTGTATTCCCAACCTACCACATGAAGTTGATTATTTCAACGCGTCACCTTCTGGTTAAATATTAATGTCACCTAAACTGAAATTGTTCTTTGGCTAAACAGCATCTGCAAAAACAAGATGTTCTTACCGTCTGGTGCCCTGTCGACGGTGTACCACAGCTTGAAACGTGCCGGGTGATTGGCCATGACCTCTTCTAACTCAGGGCGTAGGAGAATGTCTTTTTCTGTCTGTTTGAAGACATGAAAAGTAGTGAGTGGGAATAATTCTTAGTTTTAAATACTTGCCATGACAAACAAATTGAACCAAAGAGATGTATTTTTGTCCACGGGAATTACACTCACTTTTCACATGAATAACGTTTTGGTTTAGAAATATGTTGGGTGGATAATTTTATCTTTTTATCATATATAAATGTAACAATTATAAACCAAAACTATATATAGACAGACAGAAATGTCCATGGAAAAAAAACTTGGCTCACCTGGTTTGCAAAAAGTAAATAGCACACAGTCTCATCCTTTGGATCTTTCATGATTGCTTGGATTATCTGGAGCATAGGTGTAATGCCTAAAGAAAATAAAACAAAGATGTACTAACAGGAAAAGTTTTATTGTGCTCCAAAAACTGATATAATAATAAAATACATGATAATGTGATTACCTGTACCACCAGCGATCATGCCAACATGTTTTGCGGTTTTCACCACAGGGTCTGATTTCTTATCAGGCCTGATTGCAAATGATCCTGCAAAAATATTGATAGTGTAACTTCATTATGAAATTTTCAGATGCTTTCATAGCTTTTCTTTGACTCACAGTGATTTCAAAACTACAAACCTTTGCCCTTGTAAACCAGCAGCCCACTTGGTCCTCTGAAATCAATCGTGTCACCAATACGAAGGCTCTCCAAATATTGGGACATCTTCCCACCCTCGGGGAATTTTGGATGGACATTTTTGTAGTATATCTAAAATAAATGAGGCAAAAAAATGTTTAAAGTTGAAAAAAACTTTATTTTAGCATTTTTAAAATCTTTAACAATCCGTTTTTGCGTTACAGTTATACGCATACCTTCACCACCAGATCCACGAAGCCCTTGTCGTCATCACTAGACACCGGGGTGTAAGGCCTCACCGCAATGTTGCCATCAATCCTGGCAGACAGGTAGATGTGTTGCCCTAAAAATGCAATGATTCAACATATTAAAGTTAGCCAATGAACAATGGTCAAATGCAAAAAGACAGCATATCTACTGCACTCACCAATAGGAAGTCCAAGAACATGATCAGGTGATTTTAAAGCAAAGCGAAATTTCCTTGTGTCATGGCTAATAATCTTAATAAAAGACAGAAAGAAAGAGTTAAAGAAGCTGCTGCAGAGAAAAACTTATTTATGCACAAGTTAAACCATCACATTTTAAAATATCCTCACTTCTTTGTCCACAAGGCGCAATGGATACTTCAAATTGAGGTCTTCAAGGGTAATGGCAGGTCTGCTCTTGCCAAAGAGTCTCCGGAGCAAATCAAACACGAACCGAAGGCTGCCAGAGATCAGCTACAGAAAGGAAAATAAAACGGCATTTTTTAACATACCAAATAGGTTCATATACAAAATTATAATGGGCGTGTCCTGCACAAAGGCTAAAAACAAACTGATGTGATGCACAGACTGTCAACAAACTGGATATTCTGGCATTCTTTACATTCTTGAAACATCTGTAATGATGAGAGTTTGCCAAGGTGTCAAGATACAGTTGCGTGCTGCAAAAAACAAAACACGTAGGCTATCGAATACGCATTTATTTAATATATAGATACTCACGTTGATGATGAAGGACATTTTCTCCTGCAGTATTTACAGAGACTCTATCAAGTAACGAAGACGGATAATTATAACACTTACAGGAAAAGAATAACTTTACTAGAAAGTTAGCTCCCTGCTTGTCAAAACGACAATCTCTTCCTGGAATGGGAGGAGATAACTGCTAGTGACGTCGTTACGTAAGCTTCGAAACCTTTGCGAATCGTTTGTTTCGTTTGCGCCTTTGCGCCATTACTGTATCGAAACGTTTTTTACATATCAATGGTTCAGCTCACACATGAACCCGTGTCTAACCCATAGACTGAAAAATAAAATAAAAAAATAGTAGATATATAGAATATACGACCTATGGTGTCAACGCAGTTTACGCGTATGTGCTATTCATCCTTTGACCACCAGACGGCGACAACGTACAAATAATCTTTGATCTTAAACCAAATAAAGAAATTATTATAATGCATGCAGAAGAATTTCGTTCATTTGTCAAGTGATAAATGCAATGGCTAAATCGTTCCCGAAAAGATATGCTACAGGTAAAAGAAAATTGGCGATCAGTTAAAATATATATCAGGTGAAAGTTGTATTGAATAGTTTAATCTCCAATTGCCAATTTAATGCTTGCTTAATTTTTAGGTTGGATTCTGCAGTTAAAATCCAAATGGTTACTAATTCCCCCATTTGCTCACAAGTAATTTTAGTGCAAATATAATGAATGTAAAATGTACACTGTGTAATATAGAACTTAATTTAGAATACAGCAACACATTTGTTTAATAAAATGAGTAATTTAGCCCAAATACACTTGTATCAAATTCTCAAATAGGTGGTGGCGTGGTGTAATTTAGAAAGTTTAAGTTATTGCACATTGCCCCCATATTTGACATTGCATACATTATATTTTACTTTAATGTTTGTATTGAAATATTTTATATTCTACCAATGATACAACTGTGCTAGATGTTAAGTTTTGTGATCACTACGATATAGAGGTTTTAACAGTGATTAAAATATGTATTTTAGGTGCGGGAATGGCTTAAGTTTTAATATTTAGTATATTGCCATTGGGCTATTTTTGATTGACCTGGCAACCCTATTGTAGTTTATAAAAATCTGGAAACACTCCAAATAACATTCATGTTTTCTGCTAAGTTTCAATTTGAGGATATAACAGGTAAGCGCACCATTTTAGTCTTCCAAAAAGGCTTGGCAACTTGATCTCTAGCTAACCAAACCTCTTCACATGTTGAGGGCAAACTTTCATCCATACAACCTCTTTACACATTGAGGGCAAAATTGCACCCACACTCTCAATGAAGTGACAAACAAGCTCTGTTGAACACATGTAAGGTGCCAATCAATCAAGACTCGACAGTTTATCACAGAAATTTATTGACGACCCAACACAGTGGTCAATCGTGGTCATTTCTATTGACTGTACACAAATGCATGTCATTGAACAACTGTACTGTAGCACAAGTGTAACATTCTTGTTTTTTCGATTGTTAAACTCAACCACGTCCCTTATATTTACACCAAGTTCTATAGATTTTTCTCTATATATCTTTTGTACAATGTACAATGTTTCAATCAGGTGAAATAATAAGAGCAAACAAATTCTGTTAGACTCTGATCCAGCCAAAGCATGCAGGTTTTTGTCTAAAGTGTGCCTTAGTGGAGACCGAAGAGTTAAAGCATGTTTAACAGCCTTGAAGCAGAAAAAAAAAGCTGAAGCCAAGAAACACAGAGCAAGTCTCTTTTTATGTGGGGAGGTTTACAGCTTTTACGAACACTTCATGACATTGGCCTCTGCTTTACATTTGGCTACATGGAGAAGCATCCATGCTAAGCACAAGTAGTAGGAGAGCACTGACCTTGCATGGACATATTTGTGTCAAGTATTGCTTTTACAAATCCTTTTTCTTTAAACTGTGAACACATATGGTGGGGTTTGCTGAGGACATTGCAACTACGCAGGTCCGATCTTCAAAATGACATGAACATGATTTATCCTCGTCTGTTTTTGTGTTAGCTTTTTGTCAAAGCATTGACATTTTGCAAAGAACATACTGTAGATACAGTTACATTATGACTTATTATCACAAAATAGCAGACAGGGATTGCACAATAAATGTACTTTGTAAGAAAATAAAGTAACTATACTAAGTTTCTTTAAAATAAAATCTTCACAGTTTTAAATTATTTGCATCGTGATATTGTCAGCTACATATCAGTATGTATTTCAATTGTTCATTTTAAATTTAGTTATAATCCAACCTTTCATTTTACATGAGGATGTTCATAACCAAGTTATTCCATTACATACATGAAATATAAATCATACAACAAAACAGGACTCTTTGACAGGACTACCAGCACGTCATGCGTACTTAATCATATAGTCACTTCTCATGTGTGCTGATAAATGAAGTTATTTGGTGAGATTTTGATGTAATTTCCAGATAGTCTTTGGATGAAATGTCGTAAATATAAATCTGTTACTTTGGGTTCAGCCTGGTCAATAAAATCTTCTGCTGGTAACACTATACATCCAGTACAGTTCCTAACTTACCAACATCCTGAAGGGTTACAGACAAACACAGGTAAAACCAGAACATGCACACTAAAAACAGCTTGTTTTGAGCTGGCTTCACATTTTTCACATTGAACAAAAGCAGTGCAGCAGGTGAGGACTGGGGATTTGTACATTGGGCCACGAAGTTAGCGACCAGTGCAATGGCATCTTTCAAAACACGATTTAGACAGACTCGCAAGCAACGAAGACCTCGAAGGACCATAGAGGCCTGCACAAATGGGCGTTAGTAAATAATTCTGCATCCACTAAAGGAAAATGAGCTCCTGTTTTTTTGTGTGTGTATTTTACAAAAGTTCCAGACTGCGGAGGACCCATGCAGATTATTCAACACAGATCGTTGGTTACACGACCTCAAGGCAAAGATGAACTGCTCAGTTTTAAGTGTACTAAGCACAGTGGTAGATTGGAGGGTCATTAAAACGTATGGGCTGAAACGAATAGCTCAGAACTGACGCACTGGTGGACACGATGAACATTTGGTATAAACTAAAAGAAACAACTCAAATAAGTTTAGTCTACTTGGATCATTTATGTTGGATCAAAAGACTGAAGGTAGCAAATCCCTATTCCTTAAAACCGCAAAGCTTTAAACACAAGTGCTAGGATTTAAACAGCCGGCATATCATTGTTCTGTGACACAAATACCAAAAGTTGTAGTTGGATGTGAGTATTATTAAGTATATAAAACACCTCCGTTTTAAAACTCTACACCTAGTGGATGTTTTTGTCCGACTTGAAAACAAATGTTTAGGAACTTGATGGCGGCATCACCTACCGAACTTAACATGCATTGTTGGCTTAGCGTTTAGTGACGCTTGGAGAGAATGTTACACAAATTCAGGGTTCGGAGGGCAGGCTAACAATATTACATCAATTGGAGAGTAATATAACTGTGTGTGTTACTAAAACTGTCCACAGCGGGTAGCATGGTGACAGTTCCACCTAAAAATGAAACTGACCCAATCCACATGCATCGCCAAGGCAGTGATGACATCAGAAGCCATGGTTTCCCTGGGCACTAACATTGGTTGGGGCGTGATTAGCTTGTCACAACGTTGCTAGAATGTTTCCACAACGTAACGTAGCCCTTGGAATGGTATGAGCTCCGCAGGCTGACGTTTCTGCAACGTTGTGGAGAAGATGTAAGCCTGTGGACCTTGGCCTTCCCTACAGTTCATCCCGTCGGGCAGGTGCTTGTCATGTCGGCGGTGATGTTTGAAATGTCTCCAAGTGGTTGGCACACAATAATGGAGCTCTTGATGAAACCGCTGTAAGGAACAGTTGGCATGAGCATGGAGAACGTGTCACACGATGGAGCCCTTGGAGGTTGAGAGATGGATGGAGCGGATGCGCAGGGCCAGGGTTCTCTCGAGGTCATGGAGGACGTCGTAGGACGGGCCTGGACCGGGGCTCTCCGCAGGAACCTCATACAGTAGCTGCTTAAAGTTCTCCAGCTCGATCAGGAGCACCATGTTCTTCAGGAAGTAGCCCTCGATGAAGGCTGCCAGCTCCAAGGCCCCCAGGAACTGAGGATGTGTGGGACGTAATGACAATGTGAGACACTATTCATAATTCCGTAATTTCTCCTTAATAATGTTGTATGCAAAGCCCTGCTACGGTATACAGTATCCAGAGGTATACAATGTAAAAACCATGCAGTACTATAACATAATGTACCACAATTCTTGCCTAAATATTCACACAGATACTTAATCTGTATATTTCTAAAGACTCAAAACAAGCAGAGCAAATTAAGCTGCTGACATTTATACAGACAGACAAGCAATTATTAAAACAGGTCGCATTCTCGTTGGCATGCTGTATTTGTCTAATCAATGTTATTAACCTCATAAATATGCAAATAAAATGTTAATCCAGGGTTTTACAAACATACAGTGTACAATCTCTGATCCTGACAACACATGAAATACCTAATCTAGGGAAATGTATAAATAAAAGTGCAATAGATTGACATCTAAATGAATGTTTCAGAGTACCTTGGCATGTTTGTATATGTCCACGCAGGTGTCGGTCGTGATGTTCTTGGAGCAGATGATTTCACAGTGTCTTTGGAGAGCCTCAAGTTGGAAGAATTTGGCTGAAGACAGGAGCTTTGAAGCAGAGGGACTGTTAATGAGCCAAACTCATCAAGCTTTCAGGTTTATAACGATCAAGAGCAATCGCTTAATTAAGTTTAAAATACATAAACATTAATCAAAATTTCTGCTGCAGTTCTACGTGCAAAAGGAGCCTCCATCTGGTAAAGATAAATGAGAGATTACATATAGATTTTTTTTTTCTCAAAGTGTTTTCCGATAAGTACGGCATGAGAAATCTCCCATACGCCATCAGACCGTAATTCATTCATTCATCACATTCAACATCATCTCAAGTCATTAATCATTAAGTCATCACATTAGTGTGTGGGTGCCATGATGATGAAAAAAGGGTTTAGGGTAGCAGGGATTATGAGCATAAAGGAGGAAAGAGAAGAGAATATTTAATACCTCCATAATTTCAGTGTTCCTGATGTGCAGTGACTCAGTGCCGCCACAGTAGAGGTACTGCATTACCAGCTGAAACACACGAAAATGTTCTCAAACTTCTAAGAAACATTTTAAGACAGACGCTTAGCACTAGTCACAAATGTGCAGACATATTTTGTCACTAAGCCGAACTGTGTTGACAGAGAAGGGAATTAGGGTAGCGCAGTTTGACTGTAATACCACATGAGTTTGAGTGGGATTTATGAACCAGAAGATTCCAACCTGAAAAATGTTGTACTTGACATGACTGATCTCGATGCACGTGTTCTCAGCTGCTGGTCTGTTAGAGAGCAGAGACTTAAACCTGCATGTCAGAAAGAGGTAAAGAGAAACATTAACTTCCTTTAAGTGCTGTATTATCACTAAATCAATTATTTATAGAGCTCAGTAAAAACGTTTACATTTTATATTGTGTGGCTGTAAGATATTCTGAATTGCAAAGCAGGATATGATGTAATGTCAATGGAAATGAATTCATGAATATGAATTAGCTCATGCTGACATTAAATCCTAGACCATCCAGTCACTTTCCATGAATTAATATTCTTGCAAACCTCGCAGATTTGGAAAGGTTTTATTATTAAATTGTTATCTTGAGATGAAATAGTACCAATTTCCAAGATGGCAAAATTGAAATGTCAACACTTTAGATAGATAGATAGATAGATAGATAGATAGATAGATAGATAGATAGATAGATAGATAGATAGATAGATAGATAGATAGATAGATAGATAGATAGATAGATAGATAGATATCAATCTATCTATCTATCATCTATCTATCAATCTATCTATCAATCTATCCATCTATATCAAGACATACCTTGCTGAGGCAGTAAAGAGCAGCACTTTATGGGCATAAAAGGGCTTTCCTTCCACCAGAAACGTCACGTCAGACATCTCTTTATTGTTGAGAAAGTGTGGATCTGTATGATGTAACAAATCAAATGATGAAGTCCGCAAGTCGGAGACGCAATATTACACAACACTGATTACACAAGCTTCTTCATTATTTAGCAGTAGTGGCTTGTCTTGAGTTTGACAGGCTGTCATCAACACATTAAATGAAAGAGCATGACAGATGTCAGTTTTATAATTATATACCTGGCAATAGCTTAACCAAAGCCTAGATGGCACTAGTGTTCCTCCAAAACTTTGAGAGTCAAATGAAATTGAACTAAAATTGTATATTCTGTTTTGTCTCCTGACTGAAACTGTCCTTGTGACACTGTAGTTTGACTAATGCAGCTCAGCGCATGGATTTAACAAGCTTCACCAATTAACTCCAGATAAATTTGAATCCTTGTGCAGCACAAGTTGATTTGGCCTTTTCTAATGATCTGAATTGACACAAAATGTGCATAACACAACAGTTAGTTTTGGTTGTCTAATTATGTTTTTATTAGCGGAGCAAAAACAGACAAAATTACTGGCCATATTGTGCCTAAAATGTATGTTACTCTACTTTAAATTCTTGTTTATAGAACTGTTGTTTCCCAGCAATTTTGCGTATGTGCTGAATAGCAGCAACGGCCAAACACTCTAGCTTGTTTGATTCTGTTAAATTATTGATATTGTTAGTAATGTAGAGGCAGAGCAGAAATGGAGTCCCTTTTAAAGACGAACTTAACGAGACGGTGCCACTGACATACTCACCCAAACGTGACGTTTGCTTCTTTTTGATCTCTGTGAGTTTGGGGATTGGGAAAGGCCCGTAGCATTGGGTAAAGATTACTGACAGCTGCTGGCTGATCACCTCATTCTGTAGATCACACAAACACACATGGTGTAGTCAGACCCTAAATTCTGTTTTCTAAAAGTAAAACGCATCCAAGCCTATGGTAATAGCAACACGGCACTTGTGATGAGCTCTGTAATGAGAGGATTTATCATGTTAATTACAGAGAAAGCTGAAACTGGTGTGGCTGACGTTGATTGCCTGTTTGCTCAGAGACAGGGACTGACGCACAGTGATAACAATAATGCAGAGACTTACGAGGGACATTAAATTCTAAATAGTGTGGCAAATAATTTAAAGTCTTAAATGACAACAAAACTGCGCTGTAATATTATAGAGACTAAAACATAAGCTGCTAAACTATTAAAACAGTTTTTGTCAAAGGGATAGTTCACCCAAAAAAGAAAATTCTGTTATAGTTTACACACCCTTGAGTTGTTCTAAACATTAAGTTTCTTTGTTCTGTTGAACACAAAAGAAGATATTTTGAAGAATCTGAGTAACCAAACTCCCACTCCCAGCCCACTGACTTTCATAATATGACAAAGAAATTACTATGGAAGTCAATGGGGACCAGAAACAGTTTGGTTACCAACATTCTTCAAAATATCTTCTTTTGTGTTCAACAGAACAAAGAAAACTCATACAGGTTTATAAAAACTTGAGGGTAAGTAAATGATGACAGCTTATTCAAACTATCAATAAATACTACAATACTATATAAATAATATTAAAATAACACTAATGGCAGACAGGAGGAGTGTAGTAGCTCTGAATTGATACACTTCACCTTGATTAAAATTCTACACTATTGTTTCCTGATATGATCAGGAAGTACCGGTAAATAAAGGGCTGATACTGGCTCAGGCTGTAATAAAGCATTGAGAACAGACCTTGCTGGCTCGAAGGATCTGGAACATGAGTGGCAGTCCGTGCGTGATAAGTTCCTCTGTGTACTCGTCTTCTTTAATGCAGGTGAAGTCCTTCAGCAGGCCTTGGATCAGCGGCCGCCGCTGCTGCACGAAACACGTCCGCAGGGACTCCAGCCACGTGTGCAGGGTCCACGGCACGCCTGCATATGGAATCCATATATCAATTATATTCAGAATTATATTCACTTCAGAATCGATCTGTCGCGTCCATCTATCTGTCAATCCTCAGTAAGGAGAACTAATGCAATGCATATTATAAAAATTGGGGGTCGGTAAGACTTTTTCATGTTTTTGAAAGAACACAGTATAAGGAAAGGATAAACAGTAAAAAAAAAAAAAAACGGTAATATTGCAATTTCAAATATCAGTTTTCTATTTTAAAATGTAATTTATTCCTGTGATGGCAAAGCTGAATGTTCAGCATCATTACTGCAGTCTTCAGTGTCTTAATATGATCCTTCAGAAATCAATCTAATATGCTGATTTGGTGCTCAAGACATATTTCTTATTATTATTATCAATGTTGAAAACAGCTGTGCTGCCTAATATTTTTGTGGAAACTGTCATACATGTTTTATAGGTTCTTTGATGAATATAAAGTTCAAAAGATCAGCATATATTTGAAAAAGAAATCTTTAGTAACATTATACGTCTTTACTGTCACTTTAATGCATCCTTCCTGAATAAAAGTATACAATTATTTCATAACAAAAACCTTACTGACCCCAAACTTTTGAACGGTAGTGTTGTAAATAGCATAGTTTAGTAGATAAATATGGTGCATAGTGATACTGACAGGCAGAAAACAATACACACAAAAGATATTCATGCGTATCTAGTTACCTAGTAGCAACCAAGGGCCTCAAACATCTTTCAAAGAGTGTCTTTCAAAGATTTGATGCCACTAACCTGGTAAACTTTGGGAAGCGATTAGTTCAGCCTCAAAATTAGCTAATGCTAATCCAATAGTAGTGGATTGATAAAAAGAAAATTGACTTTTTACCTTCACAAGTAAGATTGGAAATGGCGGTTTTTATGTGCAATGCGCACCAGATGCCATCTGAGGCTGAGACTGATCGCTGCGTGACAGAAGTGAGCCAGGCGGCAGATGTCTGTGGTAATCGTGCAGTGTTTTTACTAACCCAGGCTGCGGATGTCTATGGTAATGTCCACGTGGCCGTGCTCGGCACTGTGGTACATGGCCTCGCGGAGGGCTCTTAGTTTGGCCTTGCCTGTCCGGAGGGTGCCTTCGTTCTGTGGTGCTCTCCTCTCTACGACCTCTGAGCCCTCAGCTAGGATCTCCTCCAGAGACAGCACGTCCCCCTTGTCCTTTTCCACCTGGGACAGAAGCTTCCGGAACACGTTCCTGCAGGAGCAAGTGCACGTAACAAACTCGCTCAGGTATGTATACTCAAAGGAATAGCTCACTCACAAAACAATTACTCACCCTCATGGTGTTTTCAAACCTGCTGTTACTTTTTTGACAGTTTTTAAAGTTTTTTTTAACAAAGGCTATATGACTTCAGAAGACTATGGACTACTCTTAGGCTATGATAATTGGGCTACTTTTAGGCTATAATAATTTTTTACTTTGTCTTTTTGGAGCTTGACAGTGATTATGAACTTTATGTATATTTGTATGAACTCAAAAAATATTATAATAGGAAAAATATTATTAAAAAGAGCTACATAAAGAATCCTTAAAATGCTCTTTTGTGTCACACACAGACACACACACAGCTTATACACTAACATTTAAAAGTTTTACTTTTATTCAGTTATTTTGAATTTCTATTCATTAAATAATCCTGAAAAAAACAATTATCATGGTTTACACAAAAATATTAAGCAGTACAAGTGCTTTCAACATTGATAATAAGAATGTTCAGCACCAAATCATTGATTAAATCAATGATTTCTAAAGGATAATGTGTAAATGAAATCTGGAGTAATGGATTCTGAAAATTCAGCTTTGCCATCACAGGAATAACTTACATTTTAAAATATTTTACAATATTACTGTTTTAATGTATGTTTTTATGAAATAAATGCAGCCTTGGTGAGCATAATATATTATTTTCAAAAACAATTAAATGTCTTACTGACCCCAAACGTTCAAAACGTCATGACTTGAGTAAATAATAACAGTATACTTTTTGTGTAAAGTAAAGATGGACTTTTTTTCAAAAACAAAAACACTGTCATAATTGACTGTTGTATACAAAGCCATTAGCCATTGAGGATTACTTGCGTGCAATCAGTGGATTGATGAGTACAAAGTGTTTGAAAAAAGAACATCTATGAAATACTGTGAGTGCTTCTTTATGACTTCCATTTATCAATGCATTCCAATGTGTTTTTCTTCTCTGCTTTGCCGCATTTTCTTGTCTTTGTAAACTCATTTACTTTCATGAAAGTACCAGCGCTCTACAACTGATCTAATATGCATAAACAACCAATCACTGCGACATGCACAACTGCAAACATCCCTAGGACTTGAAGCCAAAGACATCCAGTTCTGGCTCAGATACAGATGTGTCCCGTTTGAAGCCCTTTATAACGGATTGCCTTAATACCGCAGAGGTGGGTGAGTTGGCTGTTGAACATTCTGGATTCTCATTCAGACGTATGCAATATGAATTTCAATAAGGTTCCATTATGCAGCGCTGGCCATAGGTGAGACTGAATGAATGAATGAGCATGCAGTCATCCATACCGTTCACCAGCAATGATGGGGTTGGAGTTATGGTAGTAAATTACACACAATTTTGCAGTCAAATACACCAGCTCAGCTTTTATAAGTGCCAATAATAACGCATCAGGGGTTCAGTTCTGATAGATTAAGTTTCTGCAGTCAGAATGATGTATAAGGACACAGAAATAATGATATGTGTAACAGATGTGTCAATGAACTATAATGAAAGTTCAGTTCCCCGTTGTGCTGGTGGTGAATGTGCTGTCACTTTACACACTTCACATGCTGTTGAGTCATTGGGTGTGCATTACCTGTGTCCATGTGCTGCTGCCAGGCTGTATGAGTTCATTTCACCCAGCGGACCAGAGGAAATGCCATTACGGTAAGTGGTGCCAATCAAAGGGTCTGCTCCCCTTTCCAAAAGCAGACTGACCAGCTCAAAGTTGCCTGTTAAAAGAAGACCATTTATATTACATTAACTTGGCTGATGCTTTTATCCAAAGCAACGCATTTAGACACCTACTATTAAGGTCAGCAGAGACACATTGCTGTTTACAACTAGTGGAATATCTCTCAAATGTGTTTCTTATGACCGTATTACAAGGTGGACGGTCTCTTATGAAAACACTCATAAAACACTATGAAAATATGTGTTGATAAAGTGGAAAAATATTAAATAAATAAATAAAGTCTGAAAAATCTCTTTAATTATTTAAGTTAATCAAATATTGATAGTGTACAAAAAAAACAAAACAAAAAAAAAAGTAAAAAAAAATCTGTTATTTTGGTCAATCATATGTTGATAAAGTAAAAATAAAAGTGTGAAAAAATCTGTTATTTTAGTCAATCATAATCATTTCAATAATTAATTAATTCATTAATTAAATTGTGAGAGTGTGAAAAAAATCTCAATTACTGTATTTTAGTCCCCTCCTTTTATCATACGACATTGAGTTAGACCAGTTTTGTGTTATTTATTTACACAAGGGGATGGGTTAAGTTGCGGATTTTGTTTATTTTGGCCTGATTGGCTCCTCCATCTACAATTCCCTTATTCATATTAAGCTACAGCATAAATAGGAAAAGTATTTATGAATCAGATTGTCTAGCTAGCAGGTCGTCCCCAGCCCCAGATTGATTTACTAATGTAAATTAGCAGGCTGTCCTGTTCACATCCACATGGACTAATGAGGAGAAAGCTTTTCTAAATTAGAAGGAAAAACCCGAATGCTAACACTGGGGGTAATTGACCCAGCATACAGCAAATAGGCCGTAATCGGTGAGGCCTGATGAGCTTTGGATCCGATGAGGCTCAAACAATCCCATCCACAGCCATTTCTGAGGGGTCACAAGGGAACACAGGCATACGGTTAAACCTGTTTCTAGACATTTCGTCTCAATCGGTTTGGCTTGTGTTCCTTCATTCCCCTCTTCTGCATGAGATGATACAATTTTTGTGCACCCCCATCCTTTTTTATCCCACAGAGAAGGTGCCCATTACAAGCTGACTCAAACCTGAATTACCCAAGTCTTCAAGAGTGTGTACGCTAAGTGGGGCAGACAGGTAATATTCAGCATTATGCTGGAAAACACTTGGCTAATGTAAATGAATATCACTCAGGTCAATTCATATTCATAGGACTGCCACAGCCGGGATTATGAAATCTCATTTGGCACCGGTTTCCATGCATCATTCCACCGTGTGGACTTGTCACATTCACACTGTGGATGTAAAGGGGGAAAAAAAGCTCCTGTTCCTAAGGCTCATTAGCAAGTTTGCAAAGAGCTCCCGAGAGCGACACAGCCCCATCAGTCTCTGAATAATACTATTATGGTTCTGGAACCAGTCTGGGGCACAAAAGTATAATGTCTTCAGTTTGTCAGTTAATAGTCAGCAGAGACCATTTGGTTGAAATTAGAGGCACAAAAGGAACAGAATGTAACCATTTAAAAAATGGGTCCTGGATGTAGAGTAAGAAATCATCTAAAACGTATTTACTCTGTATGCTGTCAAAGATTTCACTCACATCGAGGCTCCATAATGTAAATTCAAGGCAGTACTCTCAAAAATACCTCATCTACCCCTAAATAGTGCATATTACTAACTTAAATACTTAGAACAACTTAAATAACTTATAATACTCTATAAAAAGTCAAAGTGTTTTTTTTGTCAATACAATAAAAGTCAGCTAAATCCAATGTTGTTTTGGACCCCATTGACTTTCATTGTATAGACAAAAACAGTTGAAACATTCTTTAAAATATCTACCTGTGCAACAGAAGAAAGTAAGTCATACAGCTTTGGAATGACACAAGAGTAAGTAAATGATGACAAATGAGGGTAAATTATCTCTTTAAGGTACTAATATTCTTCCTTTAGAGGTAGATAAGGTATAAAGTACTGTAACAACTAAAGGTAATATATATATATACTGTATATATATATATATATAAAGTGTCCCTGAAAAGTATTTGGACACTTAAGCCACAGCATAATGACACTGTATTAGATATCAAACCATAAATATCAAACAAAGTGGCATTTATTTTAAAGATAGAAAACTAATAAACTAAATTTAGCAAAAAAAAATAAAAAATAAAAAATTTAAAGGATAAAAAAAGCAGATATATTGTTGGACTGTGTGACCTTGAGGGAGACTACTTCATACATCCAATAAATATAACCTTGACATCAGTAATTGTCTTTGGCCAGTAATTGCTTCATGTTTGCAGATGCCACTTGGTTTTATATTTTGCAATTTAATAATACATAAATTCATACTGTAAAAATTTCTGTATGGCTTCAGTATTTTGTGGTACCTGCCGCAGACGCCAATTGAAGTGGCGTCTCAGTGTAATTCTCTGTGCCTTCTTGAACCGCTCCCTCCGCGTTAGCTCTGGCATCCAGTAGAAGCTGCTCAATAAGGTGAGAAGAACAATCATTATAAAACAGATTTTAGAGGATTTAACTTTAATATCACCAAGATACCGGTAAATAAAAGTCCTGTAATTGCATTAAATTAGCCTGCTCTTTTCATCACATAGGCCAACTGCAACTAGTAAACATCTTTATGGTAATCTGGTCATAATTTCTTTCCCTCTTGATGCTTTAGGTAGATGATTTTTGGTCTGTTTGTCAAAGAAAATGGGAAATGATTTATACTGAATGAAATAAAAAGGATTTCACTGATAATATCTCCTACTGTGGATGTGTGCTTCTGGGAGACTGATAAATATCCCAGGAAATATCACCTTGCCTTTCCATTTTCCTGGAAGAGCTAAATAAGTGGGCCTTCTGACATCGGATTCAATACTTATAGAGTATTTACAGTGAAACTAAGACTTTTTCCCACTTTTGGGGGGGAAAGTAGAGTGCACAGTCAATAAACTGGCCTCCATTTTCAAAGCGTTCCTCTTTCTTCCTTGGCACATATGGCCAATTCCTGATACCAGTCTACATCTTCATTCAAGTTCCTCTGAACTGGGGCAGCACCATCCAGCCCACAAGAGTCTAACATCAATTATTTTCTTTGTGCCATTATTATTATGATGGCGGCATCATAATAATAATCAAGTAAAGTACAAAGGTGGAAGGTATCAAATCATTCACAGCGCCACTACCTGCACGACAGGGACGTGTCCGTGTAACACGGCGAATGTGAGTGGAGTCCCCTGCCTGGTGTCAGGATAAACTGAGGGGTGCTTGTGTAGTGAGCTGGGCACCTGGGAATCATATAGGTGAAGTTCAGGGAGAGAAAAATTCAGCCATTATATACCAGAACACTGAGCTCCAATTGCGGAATTGCAGGAGTACGGGGAAGAAAAAAGGGCAAGGAAAGAGTGAATGAGTAAGCGGAAAGTTGAAAAGTTCTTCCGCCGTCTAGCTGTTTTGTTAATTCAAGCGAACAGAGGAAGAAAGAGCAAGTGCTTGTTTTGTTCTCCAAACCCCTTCTTCCATCCAGCCCACAATCTAGAGTTTACTTGCGTTTGCTTTCCTTTGGACAACCCCTATACGGCATCATCGCTTTACTCAAAATCCTGACCACGGTTTGAAGACGGTTAGGATCTATTTCACGGTTTTCATAGCGGTAACAAAGACTGCAGGAAGAATAATTGGCAGCGTGTTCAAACGCTAGAAGTGTAAGTGAGCAGTGACTCATGTACAAAGCACCAAAAAAGAAGGCTTGTCTGGTTTTAATGCTTACAGCTGTACTGCATGCTGAACTGAGCATCTGTTCTTGTCTAGGCAAACATGACCTTTTGGAACTGATAATTCGGGTGGGATTAAGGTTAAACAATTGTTTGTGCAAAACCGCCTAGGAACATTAGGACATTAGGTAGGCAAATAACTGCACATCTGCCCACCTGCTAATACTCTTCTTGAGCTTGAAGCAATTTGTAAAACAAGTTAAGATCACTGTTTATGCGTTTGGTGCTTTGTGCCCAAGTCAACAACTCCATTTAAAAATGTCCTTTAAGGGTTAAATGAAGACGGCATGAGGTAAAAGAGCACAATATCACATCATGACATACATGTATACAGGACTGACTTTCATGAAAATGGTCAAGAACATAAGGTCAAATTTCAGCCCAAAATAATTGACATTTTAACTAAAACTCTCACTTTTGTAATGTGAAATTCTACCATGAAATAATTTACTTAAGATGCAAAGTGTTTATTCATTGTGGTACTATTTGTTATACTGCGTTTAATATATAAGGATTTTATTAATTAATTATGGTAATACAGTTAAAAGAAAATCACTAAATTACAATCATTCGAATCATCAAAAATAGTTCGACTTCTCATCCAGACATATTATGCTAATTAGAAAACATAAAAGTAACGTCACAATGCAAAAAACAACAACATTTTTGTGTGGTAAAATATGACCTGTACCAGTTTCTTCACCAGTTTCAGGACTATTACATGAAAGGCAAATACGTGAAACATGTTCCTTTTAATATCAATTAATGACCCTTATATTAGAATTACATTGAGTCAATGCTGTTTTATGCAAGCTAGCCAATTGAATCAGTTTTAATCCACTTTTATTATCATGTTTCATGTTTTCAACCTGAATGCTCCACAATCAGTATATCTACTTTAGGCAATCATTGTATTTAAAAAATATATATAGTTAATAGTGTTAAAAATACATTTGTACAAATATGTCCATTTTGCGGGAAATCATTAGCATATCTCATTTGCTTCTAATCTAAATAAATATCGACGAGATCAATGAGAACCTAAGTAGACACGACCACTTTTTAAGTACATGCAAACAGCACCGGGAAGAGGACAGAGCGAATAGTTGATTAATTTTATAGAGATAGGATAGTTAGTTTAATAGAGACAGAGGAAAACACTACATGACACTTCATAATTATCCAACCAAAACATACTGACCTCACTGTTAATGTCTGCCCCAGCGTCCAGCAGCATTTGCACCATGGCCTCGTCCCCACGGACGCACGCGTACATGAGAGGGGTCATGCCCTGAGGAACACATAAAAAACACTGAACACCTGCAGTAAACATGCCATAGTCCGAGCCCGTCGCTGTACAGCCTACAGCACAAGTTACTGCGGCACTAGTTAAAGGAGCTGTATGTAAGAAATTTATTTCAATTAATCATAAAATGGCCCTGAAATGTCACTAGACATTAAGAAATCATGTGCATTTCAAATACTTATATCACTGACAACAGTAGTCTGGCCAGGATATTGTCATTTAAAAAGTGCAGTTGCAGCCCTCAACTGATGTTGATGTTGTCATGTTGTGTTTTGGTCTGATGCTCCACCCTCCACCTATCTACCAATCACAAAGTCAGTAGTGTTGCGGCATCCGGGTTGCCAGCTCTGCTCTAGTTACCACAGCTGCAGCTCGTCACGTTCCTGCTGGATCCTGCAGCCGATCTGGCAACCTCGAGTCAGGGAGGAGGGGGAGGGGATACACCACTCTACAGTAATTTGAAAGTGATTGCAGTACTAGTTTTGGCCACAATCTTACATACAGCTCCTTTAAGGGTTATTTAGCAAAAAGTCTCTGAAAATAACATTGTCTTAAGGGCTTAAAGTGTCCATTTAAATGAACTGAGGAACAGTAATCTTTATGGATGATGCTCAATTAATGCACATTAAACAGAAAACAATTCAAGACCATCAAGTCTTACACTGCTTTAGGGAAACACACACATATAAGCATCAGTGCATGAAGGCACATAAAGCCAAATAATTAACTACGTTTTTAAACAGTCTTTGAAAGAAAATACACCATTAATACCATCTCACCTTTCATAGTCATGTTTTGATATATATATAGCGTTAGTTAATACATTAACTGAAATTATTCGTAATATATTATATGAACTATACAGTATATATAATTAATACATTTGTTAAAGGTAATTATTTGTTAAGGTTAGTAAAAAAATATAACTGTTCATTGTTAGCTCAGGTCCACTAACTAACTAATGTTAACAGATACGATTGTTGATTTTAATAATGTTTTCGAAAATGTTGAAATGAACAAACAAAGCTCAATACATTTCTTTAAAGGTATTTTTCATTGTTAGTTAACGTTAACTAATGCAGTTACTAATTTTAACTAATGAAACCGAAAACTGTGTGTTTATGCGTTTATATAATGGTGACAAATCCATCTAAATTTCATCTGGGTCTCTGTAAAAAGAGATATGGTCAAGTTTTTAGTGCACTCAATTTCACAGTGATTTCAGTTAATTTATTCCTAATTTTACTCTTTACACGGGTAAAGGGGTTTTAGGCATTCTGCTTGATGTTAAAACTCCCTGTAAACACTTTATTCCATTACTAACTCGAGAGTGTGCTGTTCTACAAACAGTTTTCACCATGAAGAAGGAGATTCATTTGTCAGTTGAGTCGTATTTTCCCTCAAGGCTTTTCTTGAAATAACGAGTACCATATTTGCCAGCGTGATTTCGGAGCAACTCTTCCAGAGTAAGATGGAGCAACTCTCAATGATTCCCAGCTGGACTCCAACAATTCTCTTTGTCATCACATCACATTTTGCCTCCATGTCTCTTCAATTTCACATGTTAGTTTTATTCACTTTATCAGCACCGGCATGTCGCCGTCATTCTTTGCATAAACTGGCTGCTGTTTTCAAGACAGACCGTGACAATAACACGCAATCATAAGATATACGGATGACACTATTTGATTCATAATACCGAGTGTCATGAGTCATGACTACTATCACGATAGATGCTTCCTACACAGATCAGTCAGATTAAAAGCGTTTTCCCTTATTTAAAGGTCATGTAACATCTTATTTATTTCCTTAGCCTCTAAATGTCTATGTGGGTCATCTTTCTTCACACATAAAATATTATAAGAAACTTATAGGCCATTTTTCATCTACAATGACACATGCTGCAGAAATGTCATTGATTCTCAAATATTTAATGGTAGGAGGCAGATGTGATACAGAGAAAACTATTGAAGGCAGATGTGGGGAAAGTCACAGTTTACATGAGCATTTACATTACGGAGTAATTACAGTGCAAGTTCTGATTAATGCTATAGGATGTGTGATTATTTCATGACATTATTATTTTGTGGAGCTGCTCATAAATACACTCTGTTATTATGTTGTTGGTGTTGTAATTAATTACATTCATAGTCACTGTAAAATGTGTTACAGTATAGACAAAAGGTGCTGTGCCAACAGAATTTAAAAGAAACTGTAGGATGGATAAGGAAAGCCAAATCCTGTAATCAAAATACATGCTCTTATTCTTAGTTTGCACAATTCAACAGTGCACATCATTCCCCCCTCCCAATTTTTTATTATATATATTAGTGTTACTTTCAGGTTTTTTAACACGCGTTTGTATTGTTACATTGTCTGTATACGTAAATTAACAGTGTATATACTCGTTCTCTGTGTTACCTGGACCGAGAAATCCTGATTATTTGTCCGCAAAATGCGTCATCCGACGAACTTTTGACAGCTTTGTCGACAGTCGACACCATTATGAGTAAAAGTTTTCCAAGAAGTATTTCCTACTCAAGCAAGGCATGTATTGACCGGCATTATATAACACCTATTTGGCAAAAGGGAAGACAATATCCTTTTTTTCTCTAGTCAGGTAGCACCAATTATTTTTTTTCTTCCGCTTTTCTACTGTAGACATAAAATTGTGTTTTATTAAAAAGCCCATTTTGCCAGGAGTGAAGAACCCCTTTAACTTGCTCCACTTTCAAAAGGACTTTCTTTTTAGTGTCACCAAGCCTCTTTTCATTGTTAGTTCAGAAAAAAAAAATGCAAATGCCACTTTTTTCTGTATCAAATGCAATGACATTTAGAACTTTTTGGGGTCCCTGCACGTCACATTACTGAAGTAAAATGGGTTGCAAATGCCCTTTCATGTAGCCTTGAATATTTTTTCAGTGAATATCATTGCAATATAATGCCACTTTCAAGGTCATATTATCTCATGTTAATTATATTATTATTAGATATAAAGGTGCAAATCTATAATCTAGTATATTCAGGCCTAAATAGTGCTTTTACTTTTTATAAAAATGAATGATTTTACTTTTCATAAAAGGTTACTAAGTAACGCAATTAGTTACTTTTTGGGGGAGTAACGCAATATTGTAATGCATTACTTTTAAAAGTAACTTTCCCCAACACTGGTGAATATATCAGTGCTCACCTGTTCACTCATACTGTTAATGCCATCTGGCCCGAGCAGATTGACTGCTTGCTTGACCAGGTCAGTTCGTCCACAGTTGAGCATCCGGAAGCCCAGGTCCTGCAGGAATTTTGCTTCTGTGGATGCAGCGTCCAGTTTCCTTGTGGTACAGAAGCAGTCATCTGCTCTGTTGAATAAAAGGTAAGTGTTTATTTACTTTTTTAATACACATACAACAGTTCTTTAATATTCTGCCACACTAATTAGATTCAGCCTAGCAGCTTGTAATTAGGTATGTTTTTATATATTCTTTCATAATTCTTATTTATTTTATATACATTTATACTATATCATTAATTTATTATTTAAAATGTATGTAATGTATATATGTTTTAATTGATATATTACATTACTTAAATATATATTTATATACAGTATATATATGTGAAATTGCACATCTTTGATATATCTCTGATATATAATCTTTGATATATATATATATATATATATATATAATAATGTATATAATATATAATACATATTGTATATATAATCAAATACATTATATATTATTATGTATAAAAAATCTTATTATAAAATATTTTATTTATAATAATATAATATATTTTTATTTATTTCATATAACATCATTTTCTTTTCAAGAAAATGTTACTAGGCTCAGAAGAAAGACAACACACACACACACACACACACACACACTCGAAGAGATGGTTATTCATTTAGGCAGCTTTCACTTTAAAAGATTGTTGCCATGGAAAAAGAAGACATTAAAACATTTTTTTGCCAGGTTAATCCAGCATCTTGTTAAGGTGCTCCTAAAAATAAGTATATCCATGTAAAAAGCCATTTACATAGCACTTCAGAGCCTGTCACTAGGAAACTAAATCCACACAAGAAGTTAACAATACTCTGTGCAATTCATACGAGGCAGTATGAGTACATTGTGTGTGTGTGTGCGTGTGCGTGCGTGTGTGCGTCTAGTGTTTCTGTGTCCTTCTGTCCTTTAATGAATGACTAACTGTTAATAAAGGCATTCTACATGCATAGCGTGGATGCCGACCGTGTGTTTGTGCATGTATGGAAGTGATGGAAGTGACGTTGCCTTCCAAACCTACTTCAGCTGCCGCGGCTCACAGTCCACCCCGGGTAACAGCAGTCGGGCTGCCTGACGTACATCATCACTGTCCACAGAGAAGCTTCGGCGGTGTTCTGTGTGCGCCACGGCCACCCGGATCCATTCCATCAGTGGAGGCAGGACCAGGAACGGCCTGCAGGGGCAGAGGAAAGATATGTTTGATATAAGAAAAGCAGTTTACTGATTTCATAATTGATTTTGTCAACAAACTTCATTCCTAGTAGTATTTAAGAATTAAACATTCAGATCAAAAGGTTTTTAAGATCATAAGAAACAAATTCAGTCCAGTGCGTCCAAATCTTTGACTGTCAGCGTACGTTTGTTTCCTTTATCACCTTCGCAATTTCCGGATACTTTAAAGAAGTAATCATAAGCTCTCTGGTGGGATTACAGTTTCTACTAATTACCAGCTCTAAGCTTCATCTAAATAGTGTGACGGAATATGAAAGACCTGTTACCAAACTGACAAGTTTTCAGTCAGAAAAAGAACATTTGAGACTCAAGCTGCTCATTAAAACACTCTCATTCCAACAGACAAATTTGAATTAAAAATATATAATTAAAAGGCTGCAAATGTGTCTCATTGTGCCAAATTTCACTTTTACATAATATGATTCAAAACTATTCTTTACAGGGTAAAGTTTGAGGAACATGAGGAAGCTGACTCAACTGCAGTGAGTCACAATGATCATGACCATGGAATTGTATGTGTTGAAAATTTGCTACAAGCATTTCTGATGAGCATATTCAGATTATTTTACTGCTGTTTAACTGAGTTTAGAGTCTTGTCAGGTTGTTGTGGATCAACATTAAATAATGGGGAGAGCTATATAATATGACTATATGAGAAATGCACACAGTTTGTTGAAATGGGCTTATGGCTTTCAAGTATGAAAAAACAATGACTTCACCGTTTTTGTCCACCCACACAACATTATCTGTTCGTCTTTGTGTCAAAGTTGTTCCACACACCCCACTGTGCTAAAAAGCAAGCAATGTGTGGGACAAAACATGTTAGTTTCCAAATTAGAGAAAACATTTTCGAGTTGTTATTGCACGCACTTGGACGTAAATAAAAAGGAGGCATTTGACCCTAGAAATATTGGGAACAAAACCATCAAGCTTCACCTTGAACCATCTATCTTCATATAATTGTGCTTCTTGTGACCTGCATCTAACAGCTGGCTTTGCACAATCCTAACTCTTCCTCCCCGGACACCTACCCACCGTAAGAAAGCCTGCCAGGAATCCGAGATTTGGCAAAACAAACCGCAAACCCTTCTCTGTTTCTCTTCTGCCTGAGTAATGTGCTTCTCCGCTCCCCTCCCTTTCAAGAAATGTTTGTAGGAAAAGGACGTGGTTCTCATTCCAGTGTGGAGTTTAAAAGTGAATTAATGCACTGGTTGGAAAATAAGACTTTTTTTGGGGGGGGGGGGGGGGGGGGGTTGCACTTTGACCAGAGGAAGGGAGTTTTCTTATCAAAATCACTTTAGGGTCTCTTGAAAAATGTCTTCATATTTTGCCGAGATATATTGCATTGGTTTATGGAAGCTTGGTACTTTAATCTAAGGAGTAGTACAATAAAAAGATCACATCAAACATTTAAGAAAAAAATACATACTTTTTGTTTTGAAATAAATATTTTTTTTAAAGAAAAAAATCCCCATGAAAAAGACCCCATGAATGAATATACAATATAATTTATTGTTGCAATGTGTATATATAAATGTATATTTAAAAAAAAAAAAAAATCCCCATGAAAAAGACATTTTTATATTTATAAATTCTTCCTGTTTCAAATAAGATATTTTTTTTGTCAAGAAGCTATTATATGACTATTATTTTGAGACTGCAGAAGTCTTGAAAAGTTGCATTTTCAGTTGAATTTGGGGAAACTACCTGAAACTTTTTTTTTTGTGGAGATATTTCATTTACTTTCGTTTGATCTGTTCATTGCAAACAGCTGAAAGTCTGTAAATTTTGCCAATAAGGTTGAATAAATTTGATTACAACTGTATTCACACACAAAAACAACATTTACTGAATATTATATTATATTACAATATTACATTTATTATATTAAATATAAATATAATTATTACATAGAATTATAATTTATTATAAATATATTTACATTTTAGATTTATAAAATGTATTGCTAGATATAAGGTATTATATATTTTTTGTCAATAAGCTATTATAATACCATATATATATATATATATATATATATATATATATATATAAACAATATTTACTATTAACTAAAATAAAATAAAAAATATTAAAAAGGTGGATATCGATATTCTCAAAAGTGTCAAAATTTTGCTCCTCCACATAACCACCTAATCTTAACCTTACTTACTTTACAGTACAAATTACACTAGAGCTTTAGGCAAACTGAGAACCATTCCTTGTGTACAATTTCAATTAACTGTCTTCAAGATCTAGGATAGACGTTTCCAGCAAGTATATTTCACAGACCTTTCAGTGTATAGTGTATTTCATGTTGGAAATTATGCAGTACAGTAAAGTATGTGGGACAAAACAGGGTGATAATTACAGTGTGTATATGAGTGTTCGTGCCCTTGGTGTATTATTCTTCTACAGTAGGAATGTTGAAAGGTTGATGGAATGTTAAAAGGTTGATGAAATGTCACTGAGCACATCAACAAAAGTCCAGTGGACTGAAGCCTGCAATCTAAAGCCACAGCCCTGAACACCTCCAGACGCTCCCTTCGCTCTGATCTCTTGTTTTCTTTCTCCATCTCTATTCATTATTCCTGTCCTCACCTACCATCTATTTGATTTTTTCTGTCATTCTCTTATCTTTCACTCTCTCTTTCTTCCTCCACTCTCTCATTCTTCTGTGAGAGGCCAAGAAAGAAATGAATAAAATAGAGCAGACCCTCTCTGGGGAAGCAGACAGCTTCCTGATTCTGTCGAGCATTGCATGGGCGTCCCACAGGGTCCTTGGAAGGGGGCTTTTTATCACATCTGAGTGATGTGGGGCAGCCTGGGAAGAGATGTCCTGATGGATTTATCAAGATGCAGGGGATGCTGAACACAACTCCATAACAATCCATTAACGCTCTCCTCCGACAGGAGTCAAGCGTTCTACTGTATCTTCATTGTGCTAAAACATTGCATCTGGAAATTCAAGATGAAGTGTAAATCCCGTTCTCCTTGCCTTCCCTGAGCTGTGACTGTGTCAATAGTCCTAAAGGTCATCAGGAAAAAATGTTGCCACCATCATGTACCAGGTCACTTGATGCTGTATAACACTGCAGAGGTGTTTTATGCGGTTGCTTGGGTGGCTGCAAAAGCCTATATGATACTCTTATAATAATTATAATTACCCAGTAATTATAGCAGTGATGCTTGCATTAGCAAACACCACAAATAAAATATGACCTTGTATCTACATAAACTCTACATGACATCCTGTGCTGCCTTAATTAACTCTATTATTGTGACAAACATGGTGCTAATGCACAACATACTCTATACCTCTCAGTATGCAGGGTAATCTTTGAGGGTTCAACATTAGGGTTTTCCCACTCCATCTGAGGACAGTGCATGAAGTAGCAGAGCGTGTAGAGGGCTTCCGGTTCCCAGTGCAGGGTGCCGGTGCGGTTCTCGTGTACGGGCGTTCCATTGCTGGGGTTCATGATGTGCAGAGGCTGAAGTTGATGCATGGCTCGAGACACCAGGTCAC